CCTAAAACCCCTAAAATCTCACATCGTAAGATCCTAAAAGCCTAGAATCCCAAAGCCTGATATCCTACAAGCCTGAAGTCCCAAGTCTTAAGATTTAACAAGCCAAAATTCCCAAATCCTAAAAGCATAACCAAAGGTCTTTCGAAACAGTTACAGATTGTTGGGAATACCTTTTCTTGTGTGGAAGAGGTTCCAGCCCAAAACAGGGTAAGGTTAAGGGTTTAGGGGCGTGTGTAGTAAGGTTGGTGTGAGTGAACTCCCTTGGCATCTTGGTGAGTGTGTTTGAATGTTTGCTGGAGCGTCGGTCTTATGGGGAAAGCATCTAAAAGCCCTACTGGATGTCGGCTTACGGACCTGTGTGCATCGCCAGCCACTTTGCTTACACTTCTCCCTGGCGCATGTATGAGACCTTCGAAGCAGGTAGGGATTAGCAGTACCAATAGCCCCGCAACCTAGACAAGAATGGTTTTTGGGGCATAATGATATAGAAGCCTGATTTAGTAATTGCTATGCCTCGGGGTTTCTCATTGTCAATAGAAGAACCCACATACAATCAACGGCCCCTGTATTAAATTATGATAGTAGGCAGCTGGAGCCACGAGTGGATCGGTCCTAAGCTAGAACTCCAAAATCTTCACGCAGCACACCTGAGAACCCAATTCGTAAATCACTTTGTACTCCAGCCATGAACGTGGCTACTGCTGTGGTCTCTGTCATAGTTAGACTTCAGAACATGTCAACACCCTGGTCTCTATTCCTAAACCCTGAACTCCTAAGCTTGAAACCCTATAATAGAAGCCAGAAAGTTGGAATATCATTATCCTAAACCCTTCTATGGTAAACTATAGGGTATCCTACCATTATTCCATATTCCAACTTTCTGGAGTTCCCTTTAAACCCTTAAAGCTTCACACACCCCGGGGGGTTTCCTCGGAGCGTTTGGGGCATTGGCCGTGGGCCTCGCATGGACGGGGAAGAGAAATGCCGGCTGCTAGAGGTCTGGACCTGAATTCATAGGGACCCTTAGAGGGTAGGGGGGAGGATCACGGGACTTAGTAAGTAAGGTTATAGGTACCTTAATTGGGGTTATAAGTATAGTTACCCTAATTACAACCCTAGTTACTAAGTCCCATGATCCTTTAAGTAGGGGGGAGGGGGTAGGGGATCATATTTCCTTAAGCAGGCCTTATTGGGTCCTTTGTTATGGGCATCAAGGCCCCCTGAATGGGATTAGGGGTTATAGGAGCTTAGGTTGTATGGGTCGATGGTCTCTTTACTTGCGGTTTCTGTTTTAAGGCGCTGTAAGTAGGGATCCTTATTAACGCTATACTAGGCAGTATGAGGAACTGAATGGGATTCTAGCTTCCCCAGAATTACCATTTTGCCCTTTGCGGGGGTTCCCTTGTTTCAACTATATGGTAGCTACCCTTATTGTTAAGGGCCTACTGCAGAGCCCAGGATTAACCTTTGAGAGTTTAGGAGTTTAGGGGTTAGGGTTTGGGGGTGTTGGGGGTTTGGGGCTGCTTAAGGGTTTGGGGATCAGCGGATTTTGGCATTTGGGATTTAGGGGTTTAGGGTTTGATGGTTTGGGTGTTTAGGAGTTGAGGGTTTGGGGTTATGGTTAGGGTTTTGGGCTTACGGTTTGAGGTATGGGTTCTTCACGGTTATTCGGTATTGAGAGAGGGATAGAAGTTGCTCGCAGGTTTTCGCAAGGGGCAGTCATAGGGCTTTCAGTACGTTTCTGATAGAGTGTATGAAGGTTCATAAGGGGTTTCGGGGTAAGAGAAAGAGTGTCATGAGAGTGTCGGAGGGTGTGCATGAGGCTACCGAGTCTCTTTCGGGAGTTGCTTGATGGGGTTTGTTCAGAGTTTGGTTTTGGGTTCTTGGAGTTGAGTTCAGGCTGCAATCTTAGACTAGAGTTCCACAAGCAGCACGCGGATCCACGTCGATCCGACCGAGCAAAGCAAGCAAACTCCATTCTTCGAAGCTGCCCACGGCTTTGAGGCCCTAAACATCCGAAGAATCCTGAACCCCGATACCCTGTTTACGAGGCTTGGTTGGATCAACAAGGCGTCACATGGGCTGCAGATGCGCCTCGCCATGGCTTTGCATTCACCGTTTGTCTTGATTTTCTAGGCGTTGAGGGTTTGGAGGTTCAGGGTTAAAGACGGTTTTGGGGTTTAGGCTTGAGGCTTTAGTGAATTTTTGGGGCCTCGGGTTCATGTAGGTTTAATCAGGGGTTTCAGAGGTCTTCCAAGGCTCCGGGCGTGGCAGGTGTTCAGATGTTGTCGGCTGTTGTTTTCCAGAACTTCTGCAATCACTGGGAAGAGTCTATATTGCTATTCACTATTCCTGATCGTCGTTGTTTTCCTATTCAGAAGTATAACAGTGGCTGTGTTTTTCGTTCCATGACTGCATGGATGTTGAAGGAGTCGCTGGTGATCTCCTATGATTCAGACAGCATCTGTGCCAAAAGAAACCTCATAATCATAGAAAACCTCATAGTGTCCTTACAAAGGAACCCGTACTACGTGATTCGTGGACTCTGCGATGCCATCCCAGGCTTTGAGGCAACGTCTTGGGGCATTTCATGTGTATACAAAGCTCCGTGTCGGGTATACTTCAATCGTGGGCAGGGCAGTCTGAAGCAAAAAGAATCTGGTATATGTATATATAATTTTACGAATATGTACATGTGTATATATATATATACATATGCCAAGAATAGTATGGTTACAGTAACCACAAGAAAAAAACATTTTTGTTATACTAACCATCGTCTTAATCATAACAATAGAGAATCATGCTGCATGCCAAGCAGCGAAAGCTTACGTGGAAGCCAGATAACTACACAACGAAATGCATCACTATCCCAATGGGTTTCCCTGCGGGGCTCCAAGACAGCAACCTACCCTAAACCCCAGACCCCTACACTTAAGGTAAAAGCCAGAAAGTTGGAATATGATTATCCCAGACCCTTTATGGTAAATTATAGGGTATCCTACCCTGAAACCATATTCCAACTTTCTGGAGTTCCCTTTAAAACCAAAAGCCATGATGAATCCCTGGCTTTAGCACCCGGCCAGGCCCTGTCCTTCGTCGCCCACGGCGTTGCGGGCGGCATGGGCATTCGGAGCAAAAGGCTCATTCCCCCAGGCCGGGGATGCAAAATCCATGGGGCTCAGGGCTGCGGGTTTAGAGTTTAATATCGGGGCCTTAATAGTTATCTGTCCTATTTTGGGGGTTCATTATTGTAGTTATAGTATAATGGGCCCCAAGACCCTATTCTAATTACCAAGGCCCCTATATTACGGGCCTCAGGTTTGGGGTCAGGGTTTAGGGCTTCAGCGGCAGAGCATGCAGGAGGGGATTGCACATGTTTTTGTTAAAGGTTACATTCGGGATCGGGCCATAAATCCGAAAGCTCGGTATCAAGAAATCGCAACAGCAAAGCGTGAAGCCTAAGTTCTAAACTCTAAGCCGTGCCGGCCCCCACAAAAGCATTGACTTTCAAGGTCTGCTACCCGAAGACAGTGTACGAACGCGTTGTGCCCCGAACCAGAAACCCGGCCAACCCTACCAGGTGAGGTTCTAGCGAACATCCCGAAGTCTGCGGTACTGTCCATCAGGCCACTGACCTCAGCATGGTTTCTTTTTGCTTGGTTTACTGATGCCCTATGGTTCGTAGACTGCGGTCGTGCAGCTTCCCAGCAGAAAGTCATCCGGTGTGGTGAATGTGCATTCCATGCATCGAGTATTTGGTGCCCTATGATTTAAGCGAGGCAAGAACCTGTCATCCGACAACCCTCGCAAATATGAAGTTTCTTTCTAATTATGGGTAGTTTAGGGTTCAAGCATATACTAGTTGGGTACGTGGACGGGTCGGGCAAGAAAAAGCTCAGACAAGTTGGGCCCAGTCTCTTTTCTTACAGACAAGGAACATCATTTTCCGCAGAGCTGCTGCCCCATTTGAGGATTTCATCAAACCAGGGGTCCTTTTAGGGTTTGTGGGGGATCCTTGCATTGAGGATACTACCATCTGGGGTCTAGGTTGGCATCACTTACTTTCTGAAGCTCGCAGAGTAGCGGCTACAGAGTGAGCAGGCCTAGGCAGCTAGCTGCACCGATTCCTTTGGGAGCAGTGATCCCCCCTCATACCTGTAAGAAATCGAACGTAACATCATTCCTAAACCCCAAACCCCCCCCCAAAAAAAAGCCCAAGCCCTGACTAGAAATACTAGTAGCCTTCCGAGCACCACTTCCGCACCAGAGCCCCAGGAATACCGTTGCTGCCAAAGTCATCGAGCAGGAGGGCTTGGACCTCGCCGCTCGCCTGGCTTCTGTATTGTAAGTTCAACTACTTAAAGGATCATGGGACTTAGTAACTAGGGTTATAATTAGGGTAGCTATACTTATAACCCCAATTAAGGTACTTATAACCTTACTTACTAAGTCCTATGATCCTCCAAGTATACCCTAAGGGTCCATGTACCCAAAGAGTATATACTTTGAGCCCAATGTACCCATATAGGGAGTACTTTAAGGCCAATGTATCGACTATCTAGGTACATGGACCCTTAGGGATAAGAGTCCGAAGAAGCGGTATTGTTCTTCGGATATCCCCTTTGCAGCTCCTAACTCACGAACAGAATGGCCGTGGTTTAGGATAAGAGCCTGAAGGCTCGCTTGTAGTTTCTCTCTTATAATAGGGTTTAGGGTTTAGGGGTTTAGGGGTTTAGGGTTTAGGGTTTAGGGATTATAGGTTCCAGGGTACCTGAATATCGTGGGATAGGCCCCCCCAAAAACCGTCTTCTAATTATCAAGGCCGCGCCAGCAAGGTTCAGCATTCCGGAAGCTTGATAGGTTTTCAAGAGGGTTTAGGGCTTATCTAAGCCTACCTTCCCCATTCTGTGAAGTTGATCGGTTTGTCATGCTTTCGGCTATGAATTCTACAGGCAGCTACTCGCAGACTGAAAGAATCAGCAGCATGATTGCACGGCTCACTCGTCGTCTTTTTTCTTGTCGTGGGCACGGCAGCTCCCCCTGCACATGATGCGAGCAGAAACCTCGCACGAGCACCAGATTTCTTGAATCATTAGCGGAGTATCAAATGTTGGTTAGCACCGTGTGAACATGAGGGTGATCTAGTGCGTGCGAGGCTTTTTGCAGGCCGGTTCTCTCACCTGCAACAACCCCTGTCTCTCTTCTGCAGAGAGGCTTTCATACCATTCAAGGGACCAGGCTCTAAGGCAGGAAAGGGCCTGATCTTTCGAGCGAGTCGCCGATTTCGGGCCTCGGACACCGCCTGCATCCATATACGACACACATCTGCTCTTTTTGGAGCGGTGCTTGAAACCTGCTGGCAAGTAACACTGTACAAATGGACTCTGGCCCACCGGATTGCCGTAGTACACAACACACCCTGGAGCGACTTCGCCCTCGGGAACTCCACGGGGAACATGCGGTACATGCGGACCTTTGGCACGAGGAGCGCCCTCCTGAGAAGAAACATTGGGGCAAGCTAAAGACACCACTGGAAGACACAGGACATGGACTTCAGACGTCGGGACTTGAGGGACAGAGAAACTCAGCATTCCGGACTGAATGACAGCTCAGCGTCGTGAGATTCCTTCCCGGCCTCGTCTGCTCCATTGGCTCCTTCGGCCATCGGAACATCGTGGCTCACAGTCTTTGGCTCATCCGGGTTTTGCTCATCCGGCTTTAGCTCATCCGGCTTTGGCTCATCGGAACCCTGCTTGGCATCATCATCTGCTGATGGATCCTCTGCCATTTCCTCCAAAAGCTCTTCCTCTTCCTCGTCGGAAGTCTGGCCCTCCAAATGCTCATCCTCCTGGTCTTTGTTTGGGTCCTGCAAAAATGGGCGGAAAGGAGGATTTTGGAGGTGGTTTCCCTATCGCTGCAACTTGTTCATGAAGGGAGGGTTTGCGATGTCCCTCTGTCCTCGTTGCGTTTTTTGCGCGGGCAGCTGTCAGGGATTTCCTCCAGGATGTTCTGGATCTCTTGTTCGGACTTGCCCATTTTGAGGAGGAACAGATGAACCCGAGCCTTGTAGTCCATCTTGCCGTGTTTCAGGCCCAGCTCTGTGCATACAGCCGCAAGCAAACCGCGAGGGATGGTCAAGATAGACACATCAGCAACATACTGCTGCAATGTCATCCATGCGGAAGTTTGCCGCCATCCCAACTGATCGTGAGCGATGACAGGGCTGGTCTGGGAGATGACCACCTCCGTGATGTCCGTCACCGCCTTCCCCAAACGAGGAACCTTCATCTCCTTGAAGCTGAACACATCGTCATCTGAGTCACCGAACTTCACGAGCGGGAGCACTCGCAAACAATGTGGCCCTGCACGAAGAACCAGAAAGCGTGTGTCAACTTCTTCTCCCTTTTTCCAAGACACGAACACATGCTCCGGCACGAGCTTGCAAATCCACAAGGACTTGAAAAGCTCTTGGACCATATCCAAGCGGTCCTGTCCATCCCGCACATCTGCGATTTGCTCGTGATACTCATGAGCTAACAGCCTCATGAGATCCAGCCGCTGGCTCAGGATGTGCGGCTTCGTGTAGTGCTTGGAGGACCGGTGCTTCGTAAGGGCCTCGCTTGAAATTCCAAGCTCCACATCCGTTGCCTTCAAGATGCTGTGAACCCGGCTTTTGACATACTTGTGCGACAAAGGAGTTGACCAGTCTTCTGCAGTGAGGCTGAGGGCCTGCCCTCCAGCAGGGCGGCGTGAACTACTTTTCTGAGCGATGGCATGGATGTTCTGCGGCACCGTCTTTTCAGCTTTGGCATGCCTCCTGCCACTGTCCCTCAAGTCGTTGAAAGTCAGCTCGCACGGCAAGCTGGAAAGCACACTGTCCGTCTTCTCGCCTGTCATGCCTGCCACCACACGGCAAACCTCAGTGAAGGGGAGGCCACATTCTTCATCCATGGCCTCCGGCCGGAAGCTCATCGTCCTGGGATGGTGTGGATTGTTGCATCCGAGTGTGTTTCGCGGGCCGGGGCAAAAACCCTAAACCCTCAAACCCTAAACCCTAAACCCTCAACCTAAACTCCTAAACCCTAAACCCCTAAACCCTACACTCCTAAACCCTAAACCCCTAAACCCTAAACCGTGCATACGGACAGAATACTCGGCTTTGATCATCACATCACGGTAGGCTTGGTAGCGGGTGAAGGAGAAGAGCCAGTAGAGCTCGTGCTCAGAAGGCAGCTTGTCAATGCAGTCTCGCACAAACTCCCACTCCATTCTCATGCTCTGAAGGGTTGCTGCCTTGGAGGACTCGTGAAGGCATGCAATAGATGCCCAGGGAAAAGAACGATAGACAGCATCGAGATCACACAGGGCATCGATCTGGAACAGGAAAAGCTTCGCCACCCATTCGAGGGATTCCTCGTCGCTTGTGGCTCCACAGTAGACCAGGCCACTCCCCTTCGCAGCATTCTCAAAAGTCTTCCTCAGAGTTACTAGCAACATCATGGTAGGGATCCCACAAAAGTCCTGAGGGAACAGACGGACTACAAAGGTTTCTGTTGTGTCGTAGCCCCAGGGGCACGATCAACTTGCCAACCTTTTTGCCCGTCGCCAAAGAGATGTAGTGGCGGATGGAGGCGGAGCCACTGTTCTGAAAATCTCTTGCCTCAGGCTTGATCTTTTGTTTGAAGTTTGGCTCATGCTGCCACATACCCAAACAACATGGAGATACTTGGGGGGTAGCCCTCCAATGTTCGGATCAGGCACACAGTCGGCCACGTAAATTCGGAGCGCTTTGAAAACCACGATGAAAGCACGTGTCTTGTCCTGATTGGTGTCGTCAGCAAGCACCTGGGCGAATGATAGTATCTCTACTTTTCAACAAAAAGGCCCTATTGTATGATATCCTGCAAAAGGGCTGCAACAACCGGGGAGCGAACATGCCAGGCTGCCACACGAGCCGAGAAGTTGTCTTCGCTTGCATCTCCAGTGCGATTCAAACCCCATGGATTCTTCCCCTCGACGAAGAGGGAGAAACAGTGTGCCATGGCCTCGGTATGCCAGCATTTGTCTAATGCGACGGCATAATCGTAAAAGCTGAACCATCGTACGTCCTTCGCTGTGTCAGCTCGCAAGTGCATGACACCTGCGAGCTGGGGCTAACTCACAACTGCACATGCATCATGCTGCTAACGAGTGTTTTCCAAGAATGGCCTTTGCGTTTCTCCAGCAGAGCCACGGCGTGCGTGCCGGAGAAGTCCGAGGAGGCGGGGCCTCCGACATTGCACCATCCAGCCTCATCCTTCGCCATACCGGTGAGCCAGAGCTGAACGAAGTCTGAATTCGGATCCTCCTTGAGCAACCGCAGCAAGTGATCCCTGGCCTCTGCCACGGTGCGACCAAAGCGACTGCTTTTGAAGGGGCCCCGTGAAAAGCGAAATAGAGTCATCAGTCGACGGAGGAATTGGGGTCCTTCTTCTAGTCGGCGTATGGCGGAGCCCGCCTTTCGGGCGGCTTTGTGAAACAAGTCTGGCCAGAAAACTGCCCAGAGGTTCTGGGAGCACAGGTGTTGCCAGCCAACGAATCCCTGGGGTGTCCGATTCAACCGAACGTGGGATCAAGTCAACCCGCTACTTAAAACAGCTACATACGTGTTCTATGTGTCGCCTTCCTGCCTCCGTCCCTTCGTCCGCCCCAAACACGAGACGGACAAAGTCCTCGTGAACATAGAAGTCTTGGCGTCCTTCAGATGCTTCAGGATCCCACACAAAGTAGACCTTGGCGTCCTGGGCAAGCTTCGGGTTCAGGAGCGACTTCTCAACCTCGAAGGGCAACCGATCACAGCCACGTGCAGCGGGCAGCAGGGGGTTCGGCGGGATGCATCCCTGGAGGGTCCAGCCTGCAGGCATCGCCTGCTGTAAACTGTTTGCTAAGCCAGACAGCAAGTGCTTCGTGGGCGTGCGAAATTCTCGAAAAGAATGTGCATCCTTGGGCAAAGCGAACCTGGACTTCGCATTGTCTGGGAGGACACCTTCCAAGCAACTTGACAATGCAACTGCTGCTGCCACTGCCTCCGTCTTGCTGCAAGTGTTCACAGGCAGGAGCTGCGTTGCTCCAGCGAAATGAAGACCGTCCATCCGGTAGACGACCGACAAGACCTGCGACCGACTTTAATAATGGCAGTTCACAGTGGCCGGCAGGTTGGTTTTTGAACTGTATTGGGTTGCTCTCTCTCCGTCTCTTCCTGTCTCGCTCCTGTTCTGTTTCTCAGCGCTTGTGGAAGGAAACATGTCTTCCTCTATGAGTATCACGTTTCTTTCTCTCAGGTCTTACCTTGTATTTGCTCTGCGTTTATGTTTCTCTATCTGTCTCTTTATCTCTTTAATTCTTTATCTCTTTATCTATTTATCTCTCTATCTCTAGCTCTCCAGCTCTAGCTCTGTCTCTATCTCCGTCTCTCTCTCTCTCTCTCTCTCTCTCTCTCTCTCTCTCTCTATCTCTCCCTATCTCTCTCTGTCTCTCTTGCATTGTAAACTTTTTTTGATGCGATCTCACAACTCAGGCTGAGGGCTTGGTTCAAGGTGAAGGCTTGCAAGGTTCAAGGTTTAGGGTAGGGGCCTGGTTTTCAGCCTCGGGTTTACTCATGATTTCAGTGGCTTAGGCGTCAGGCCTGCTCGCCAGCAAACGACGTCGCGTCGAAGCAGAAGTTCAAGCACCGAAGGCGTTGTCTCTGGAGGCAATCGCTCACCGTGGCCTCCGCCTTCAACAGAAGGCGTCCAACGTACTCCGAAGATGTGCGGTCGGCCAGGGTGCTCTTTGCATCTACGACACCTAAGTCACCCAAGCTCTTCTCGTCTTTCATGGAAATATACCCAGCACCTCTGCACAAGAAGCGGCTCACCATGTGCATGCGAAGTGTTTTGTTGCCTCTGCGTCGGGAGCTCTTCATGAAAGGATGGTACTTGGTTGCCAGCGTCGGGTCCGGGCAGTCTACGACGACACATCGTTCCAGTGTCAGCTCAGCCTCCTGTGCCCAGATGTGAGCTGCCCGCTTGGTTAAGCGGCGAAAGCCCAAAGAATTGCAGAACTCGGGGTCTCCCTTCAAACGAAAGGATGTGGTCAAGAACACACTGAAAGGCATCATGATGCCGATGGTGCTGCCAGTCATTCGTTTCGCAAACCTGCAGGACAAGCAGAGGCCACAGCGGCGCTGACACTCACAACATGCAAACATGCGGGAGACCTACCTCGACCAACTCAGGCCAAGGTCGGAGAGGATGGCTTTGATCTGTTCCACTGGCAGCTTGTTCTCGCGAACATCAACTTTGAAAGTTTGTGCAAAGGGCAGCAGCTGCACAGACTGGTTCATGTTCATGTGCTGCTCGAGCCTCTCCATAAACGACACAGATTCGGCCACTCCCTCTGGCCCGAAACTCGCAGTAGGCAACAGCGTCGCCAGCAGGACGAGGATGCCCGGCACGGTGCAGGCATCCACCGGCAGGCATGTCAGATCCTTGACTTGACCCTTGTAAGTTGTTCGCCGGGCAACCTGGGCGTAGACAAAAATGACTGGGTAACCTCTATCTGTGCAGATGCCGCGGCAATTCACAAAGCAGCAGACAAAACAACAGAGCAGCGGACATGGCCACCACCGATCTCTAGCATGTGTGCAAGCGGCAAGAAGTTTCCCGAGTAGTTCTTTGTAAACCATTGCGTAAATGGGGTTTTGAAGCGGTACCACTCGGCCACAGCGATGAAGTGTCTGTACCCTTCGACAGCAGAAGCTTCGTCCACCTGGCACAGTACAAAGGCCAGGTTTACGAAAAGAACATCCACGGACTATGAACAAGGCAGACGCAAACTCTGGAAACCAATCCCGCTTGTGCCTGCAGCACAGTCCAGACTCCCGTGACGTTGGGAAGAAAACGAAAAACATGTGGAAGGGAACGTTTCTCGTCCTCCACACCTTTCGGTAGCTCGTCAGGCTCATTCTCAGACGGGCCTTGCACTGCACTTGGAATCCAAGGCTTCGGGGCGAAAGGAGTCTCGGAGCCGTACATCTCTATGAGGGAACATATCTGGCTCTCGAAGCGGTCACTGGCTGATCTACGATCAGCCTCGGAGCCTTCAAAGCTCCCCGGCATGAACGATTGCCGTCGGAGAGCAATCGCTCTGCGAACTTCCAGCAAGGCTGTGCTGCTGTCGGACTCTGCAGCTTCCAGAGGAAGCGTCTGTAGCAACTTCTTGACACCGCTCAACCAGGCCTGGCAGCAGCACAGCCTAAAGACACGACCACTGCATCCCGTAAACCGAAGGAGACTTTCCTAGTCTGACTGCTTCAATGCATCATAAGCCGCGGCGGCGTGGGCCCCCTACAACATGACTTTCGCTTTTGTTTCACATTGCAAGGAAAAGCTCTCCGAGTACGGACCTATCTAGGAAAATCTGGAGAAGGCACAGAAAAAGACATTGTGGGATTATACTGGAACACAAGAAAGGTCTAGAAAGAGAAGAAAAAAAGAGATGAAGAGAGACAGAGACAGGCAGAGAAAGGCAGATGTACCGGGACAGAAACTCTCTATTCGGTGGAACCGGAGAGAAGTATCGGGAGACTGGGACTCGGAGCGAGCCAGAGAGCCAGAGGAGACCCGGGGAGGAACTGTGAGCGTGCACCGGCTGCTCGGCCTCTTCATCGGTCTGGGCCAAAATCGTTCTCGTCGCCATGGCCGCCCCGGCACCCCGCCGGGGACCAACGATGGGAAAAGTTCTGAAATGGAGGCCAGTAGGATAATCGCATCTAATGGGAATGTTTGGAGAAAAACCTCACTATCCCCATTCTGGCCGTTATCGTTCTGGCCCTCTTTGGGCCACTTTGGGGGGCAAGAACGATTCTGGGTCGCGAGAACGATTCTAGATGGCGAGAACGATTCTGGGTCGCGAGAACGATTCTGGGTCTGAGAACGATTCTGGTCGCGAGAACGATTCTGCGTCACGAGAACGATTGTGCTCGCGAGAACGATTCTGGCCTGAGCCGGGAGCCAGAATCACCAGAAGCGGTCCGATTCCAGGGGCGAAACATAACGTGGACTGATCATATTCACTGGCTGCTCCGGCTTGCAGAGTGGATGCAGGCTGCCCGAATGCTTCAATTTTTCGCGCGCCCGTCTCTGAGTCTGGCCGTCGTGACACGGCAGGCTTCAATCCATGGAGTTTAGATCTATGACACTGGGAAACACAAAGCGGAGTGCTTCGTAGTGCATCTCGAAGTAATTCGCAATCAGTACCCGGGTTTCCCAACGATCGTCGATGATCAGCCACAAAGCTTCTTCTCTGTGCCACATTTCTCCAACATTGAATACAAAAGCCCACTCTATCATGTCGCGGCGGTCAGGGTCGGACTCGAGCCAAGGCCCGCCTACTTTCTGCTTCACGTATCGCTTCCATCGGGAGCGTTCTAGCCAAGGAATCCGCACGACTGTGGCATCTATCGGCAATGGGGGCATGGCTTAGAAGCTACAGAAGCATCACTCGCAAACAGTAGCTACAAAAAATTTGGAGCAAGAACGGCCGGCAGCAGAGCAGGCCAAGCAGCATTCACTGCTCCACACATCTATTTCCATGGGCCAGCAAAGGATCAAAGCAAATAGCTCCAGAGGCCGTCGTCATCGCAATATTTTTTGTGGCTGCCGCGGGGACGGACCGCGTCAAGACCCTCGGGCTATTCGTGCGATGACAATCCTCGTCCATGAGGCGAGTGTCCGGTATCGGACACTGAAAGAGACGCAAAGAGAAGCAGAAGGACAGCTCTGGATGGCTGAGACACGACATGTATGCATGGTGAGCACATCAGTCACCATCCGAGCTAGAGCCGGCGGAACTACCACTGCCCATTTGCAGAGTGGATCTCTTGGGCTGAGCCTGGGGAACCTCATGAGGCGACTGGGCGTCAGATGGCGGAATCTCACTGGGCTCAGGAACCCGAGGATGGTCATCATCATCATGCCCAAAGAGCTTGCGGGCATAATGCTTCGCGGCACGGTGCACGAGACCCTCCTGAGATCAACTGTTGCTGAAGCACAGACCGCAAGACATGCGCTCAGAGGTCCCCTATCTCTCAGTATTGAATACCTCGGATTGGTTGGAGCCGGGACTCCATGTCGGTACACAGAAACTTCAGAAACCGTTTGAGGCTTTGACGACCCATCCAGCTCATAGCCTGAACAATGTCACGGGATTTCTTTCCCATGGCATCTAGACACCATCCCTCTCTGAGAGCTTGCACAAACTCCTTGATGGAGACCTCGGGTAAACCAGGCAAAGAAACGGCCGGGTGTGCGAGTTGATGCTTCAATATGGATGGAAAGACAAGGACAGGAGAGTCAGAAAAACTATAGATGAAACCAGGTCGCCAAGCCATCCTCCGTGGCTGCTTGCAGGAAGAGCTCGGCGTCCTGCTTGGAAGCAAAGAAGCGGGCGAGGTCATCCTTCAAGAAATCCCGCAAGGTGCTGTCGGAGCCTGAGTTCTCTCCTTCACCGGTTGCAACAGGTGTCGCTCCCGGCGTCGTCTTGCCCGGCGTGCTCCCCGGGGTCGAGGTTTTCTTCTCAGTGCCGAAGCGGTCCTTGAAGAGGTCGTCGTCATCAGTCATCTGCCACTCGCCATTTCGACAGCTTTGATCCCTCCACGAACCAGGTTTCTCTGCCTGCGTAAGGACAGCGCAGAGATGGCAGTGGCACAGGAGTTCGCAGAAGTACAACAAGTGTTCATCCTATGCAAGGGCAGCTACTCTGCTGCAGCGGCCTTGGGTCCTTTGACGTCCGATGCCCGAGATGACTTCTTGACCTTGTCTGGGGTTTGGCAACCAGGCGAGTCTTCCTCCTCCTCCAGCTGCTTGTCGACCTGGAGATTCCGGGTGGACTGCCGACGGATAATCCGGTTGGTCGGATCTCGCTCGCTCTTCTCATCCTGGCCAGCTTCCTTCTGCAACTCCTGGACCATGTTGTCAATGGCAGCCGTCCATGCCTTGACCTCCTCTTCCGCCTTGGCACGAGCGGCCTGGACCTCTGCATCGAAAGTCCTCATGGAGAAGCAGATAAACAAACACAAGCACTGAGAACGAGAACAGCACAACAGGATTTCAAGGTGTAGAGGCTCTCACACAAAGCATCTCTGCTCCTCCGAAGGCTACCAGCAGTCTCGTGCTGAGAGATCAGCGTCATGCCGTCCAAGCCGGTGACTGCCACAGAATACAGTTGAATGGAAAGGAAGTTCAACAACACCCTAAATGCCAAGCCCTCACGAAACAGAGTCTGCTCAGAACCTAAACATAACATGACCCCGGCCTGCTTCAGTCAGCTTAAGAAGCCTATTCTTCCAATCTTGCTCGGCAGCAGCTTCGTTCTGCGTCAGCGTGACTTTCAATTTCAATCCCTCGGCACTGGTGTCCAGGCTGCAAGTCTGCTTGCTTCTCCGCCGCACCTCCCGAAATCATTTCGAGAGCTACAAATCGCAACAAGAGCTAGCAGTGGCTGAAGGAAGCAACTGCCAAGCACACTGGTAAAGTACAGAGCAAGATGAAGCCTCGAGCAGGTTGCCCCCCATCTTCATCAAGGCATTCTCCGTAAGCTGTGGGACGAGTCTGCTCACACTGGCTGCTAGCACTGCAGGCGGCAGGTCTGACAGCTTAGACATTTTGGCTTTGAGCTTCAGTGACTGAGCGTTCCTTGGACGGGTGGAAGCAACAGCCAGGAGCACTGCGATGACAGGCATGACAACACTGACACTCGTATTGCGTTTAAGGCTCAATCCAAATTCTGCCGCAGATGCCTCGAGCTCCGCATCCTGGGGATTCTCGCGCGAAGAAGAAGAAGACGAGCTTCTCCTCCGCCTCCTGTCCTTATCCTTCGACTTGCGATTGCTCTTGCCACCTTTGGGTTTTGATTTGCCCATGCTCTAATGGCTGGCGGCCTGCGATAAATGAAGGGCCTGTGCCTCTACTGTTGCACTGCCTATGAGTGACCCAGAGGCCAAAACTTCATGGCAATCAATGAAGTGCTTCATGAACAGACGGAAAGCAACGCCTCGCACAAGATAGCAAAAGTGAGACTCATGCCGGGCGAGCCTTTTGCATCCCTCTGGGGCTGAGCACGGTACGTCAGAAGGGCACTTCATGTGGCAACGAGAACTTCGCATCGCGAATGGGTTTTAGTGTGGAGTTTGAGAGAAAGGCCGTTAAGTTTAGGGCTCGAGATCAATGAAGGTTGGGGGTTTAAGGCTTAGGGTTGAAGGCTTAGGCCAGCCAGTCGAAACCAGTACTGCACTCGACAATGTAAACCACAAACCCCAAACACAGCCTGACCAATTTGTAATACGAATAATCGAAAACCCGATGCACAATATGTCACCCCGACAGCAGAAACCGGAATCAAATTTTCAGCACCATAGACCTATTCGACTTCTCAGCAGCTATTCATGGTTTTTCTAGAGATCAGGGTTTCAAGCTCAGGGTGGAGGGTTTTAAGGTTAAGGTGTTTCACGGTTTTTCAGGCGTGGGACTTGTATGGTTTAAAGGTTTCGGGATTCCACACTCGCACTCGGACACGAAAGGGGGTCAAGACTGGTGCAACGACCCGGAAAATCGGCAGGAATCCAATGAAACCAAAACAATGAGTCTGCGAAGCTCGCCTTCGCGAGCAGAAGGTCTCGGGATTATGGCGCACGGGTACCCAACACCATACCTATATTTACCTTGAATACAGCAAAGAAGCAAACAAGGCCGATCGTTTAAAGTCTCGGGATTAGGATGTCAGGTTTAAGGTTTACAAGGGTTTTAGGGGTTATGGCCAGCCAGTCCGAAACGCCTACGACAACGTAAACCGCACACCCCTAACATACCCTGATCCTAAATAAGCTAGAAAACGATGCAGCATACGGCACCCCGACAACAACAAAAATAAACTTGAACCGCTTAAACAGACCTACTCTGACTTCTTCTGCAACCGAACCAACCACAAAAAACAACAAACCCTAAACCCCAAGTTTCCACGGCACATCGAGGGAGCCCAGGTGCTCACCTCAGGGCTCGTTTGGGGCGGAAGTCGGAGACCAACACCCCTACCGGAAAGATCCCAGTCACGGGGTAGTGGT